TTGCCTTTGTTTCTGTGTGCTTCCAGCCTGCACAGGATCTCAATTGTATATACGGTGTCTTTAATTACATTCCCAGAGCGCAAAGCATCCGTGTATGAATATTTAATTACAGAATCACATATTGGAGTTAATCTAATAAGAGGCTTTCAAAGCATGTTGAAATCCTCAGATTACCCATCCAATTGAATAAGGATTCTCGCTGGGTACAGTTAAACTGGCCATACTCTGTTAGAATTTTGGTCTATTCCTGCTGAATTATCAGCCAACATTTCAGCCATGGGTGACCCTGTAGGCACTGGAACAGTAAAAGAGGGAAAACCTGCCAATAGGCACACCTATTTTAAGATATTTCCTTCTACTTCCTTTTTTGTCTACGGTACAGGAAGTAAAGAAAATTGTACCCAACAGGACACAGGCAGCCAAAAAGAAAAAAACAAAACAAAATACTGACAGGGATTTTACCATTCCCTACTGTATGCAAAACCTAAAGAATAAGGTTGGCTTTAAATTTACTTTAAACCATTTCCCATTACTTATAAATGGAGTTTTATATAACTTACATTGGGAATCCTTGGGTTGTAGGAAGCTTGAGAGAGACTTTACTTTAGTAGAATCATAGATTCAGTTCTATGTATTTGTTAAAGCAAGACCCCCGAGAACCAGTCATGGTAAGAACCAAGTGATTTCAGACAGAAGCTCAGGATTCACACAACCTTTCAGTGCCAGCTCATGAGCTGAAGGCTAAAAATCACATAACAGTCCTCTTTTCTAGAGGAAATAGTAAGACTACACAAAAAGGTGGACAAGACAAATGTCTTCCCTTGAAATCATTAGACCAGGGGTAGGCAACCTGGGCACTCCACCCAGATAGCAAGTAATTGAGCTGCAAGTTTGAAAATGACTTGCTAAACTATTGCAGACTTGCCAAGCTTCACAATGTTGTTGCACAATTACAGCAAGTCTGCATTGCAAGTCTCCAGACCAGCGAGCTTGCAGAGCTCTTGCTAGGACCTGTAGGACTCTTGCTGTAGACTTGCCAAGCAAATTTGCTTCAAATTCAAAAAGTGTCAACTAGAACTTGTGCTGCAAGTCTACAACTTGCCAGGAATGTGTGCAGCAAGTTAGCAAGAATTACAATTTAACCCTGGCACAAGTTTGTGGCTGTGGTGAAACTACAAATCCCATAAGGCATTGCAAGACTGACAGCCACAGGCATGATGGGTATTGCAGTTTCACCACAGCTGAAGTGACCAGGTTGCCTAATCCTGCATTAGACTCTGCCACAATTCACACATCAACCAACCCACTTGACAGACCACTTTCCTCCATCTACTCAATAGGACTGGAAGATTATATTGAAGGTTAAACAATTCATCCCCACATAGTTACCACCTTTTGTATCACATGCCCATCCCTTTTAGATTGTAAACTCTCAGAGGCAGGGCCCTCCTAGATTGTAAGCTCTCAGGGGCAGGGCCCTCCTCCTTATCCTGTCTTGATTTGTATTGTAACTGTAATGTCCTCCTTATATTGTAGAGTGCTGCACAACTGTTGGCGCTATAGAAATACTGGATAATAATAATAACAACAACATCATCAACACTATTATTATTAGCTTCAGACAAACAACTAAATATATACCAAACAAGGCAACTGTTCTACATCCAGTTTTCAGATTTACACAGCCCTGTCTGGCAGGTCAGAAGACCTAAATTTTGTTGGCTGCAGTTCAGGAGAAGCAGCAGTCTGATGAACTCATCTCTTGGCCATTCAGCTCTCTCCTCCAATCAGTTTTGTGTAGCGTGTTCCACCTTTTGATCCCCGCGGTGGTCGTGTGCTGGTCTGCATGCATTTCACGTGTTTCAGCTGTGCGGCACCTGGCATCCATTAATTCTTTATTGCCCTGGCTACCTTTCTAGTGGCTGAGATCCCCTGGAATACTTTGAGCACAGGGCTCTCAAGGTACTCAAGTAGGGTTGCCACCTTTTCTTCAAGTGAAACCCGAACACTCTAGCGCCACTAAAAATGTTTTGGGGAGAATAGAGAGAGAGTGAGGAGAGGCAGATAGGGGAGGGAGTAATGAGACCATCTATAGAGAACTGCAAATCCCAGCAATACATTATCCAGCAATACAAAATAATGTGAAGCTACATACTCTGTGCTGTTCTGAGTTGGCGCCCTGATGTCTTCAGGTGGCCTGGTGATTTGTGCCGGCTGTGCAACTCTCGGGTGGGCTGTGCGACACTCGGGTTTCAGGGAGCCAGTGTTGTGTTGAATTACGTTCCCCTGCCGCTTGGCTATTTCTGTAACCCACCTCTTCATGCCTCTTCCCTTCAGCTGCATGGGGATCTACATAGCCCGGCCGCTCTTCTATCTCTGGTGATCTATCACTTAGAGGAAAGTCTCCTCGTTCTTCTCTATGTGATAGAGCACCAGAGTTAGAAGAGCGGAGGAGCGATCACAGATGCGGCTGCTGAAGTCCTAGTCAAGCGTGATCTCAGGCAGCCACATCGGCCTGAAACCCGAATCTTTCTCTGAGCTGCGGGCACCTGTAAACAGACACAGACTACCCGCAGCTCAGAGCAGTGACGACTCTAGGAACAATATATAGGGGGGGCACATACCACAGTCAATACTGGGGGGCACTAATAATTTTCACTAGCCTCCCTCTACATGTCCGGTACTTAGGCACTCCCACCTGCTTTAGACCACCACTGACAGTCCGTACGTCTGGGCTGTGGGAGGAGCCGGACAGGGCCAAAGCCGTTGTTCTATAGTTTTTCTCGACCCCATAAAATTTCTTCACTGTGTCACTTCTGGTGCGGTTATGGCATCCCAATCAGCTGCTTTCCTGATGCCTTTTCTTTATGCGCACCTGAAAGTGACATGGTTAAGAAATGTTATGGGTCACGGAAAGGTACAGCACACTGGTGGCAGAGCGATCCCTCATTACTGCGATCCTGGTAGTTCTGGTACT